GTTTACCTCGATTTCTCCTCTTCTTCTCTTTATTTCTTCTTCTACTTCTTTTTTCTTCTCCTTTTCCTCTCTTTCTTTCCTTCTCCTTTTCTTTTTTCTTCTTCCTTCTACTTCTCTCCTTCTCTTTCTTCTTATGTTCTTTCTGTCTCTCTTAGATTCCCCGCCCCACACACTCCTCTTTGCGTCGATACCCTGTCCTCTTCTTTTATTGTATCTTCGACTGTTCTTGTTCTATTTATCTCTCTCGCCTGTTTCTTTTCTTGCTCTTGCCTCGAATCAGACCCAAATGCAAATTCCGTGAGGCGTCAAATGCCCCGGCTCCATTAGTATTGGAGCCTGTTCTCTGAGGCCGCAATTAGGTAAGATACCCAGACCTCTGAAGATTCCGTAACATTAAATTTGTGCACTGGCATTCCGTGAAACATTGCCACGGCAAACTTCCGAGTGTGGGGTGCACATGGGCCGCGAAAAAGGCGACGGTCTTTCCCGGTCCTAGCAAAAGACCTTGTTGATCGACAAACGTCAAAATTGACCGAATGGAGCAGATGATGGGAGATATCCCCTGAATTATGTTCCAGAACCGATCTGGGTCAACATACCCCGCTCCCAACCCAAGCTCCATCAAATCTCCAATGAGCTCTAGCCATCGAGAAGTGTCGGGTTCCCTATTCCACCGCTCGCGAACCATCCTCTGTACATCGGTGACACGACCAGCGAGCGCTGACCACATGGGACAACCAAGAAGCCACGAAATGCACGCCGCAGGTGAAGCCGCGCGCGCGTGAAGCGCACGCAACTTCACCTGACCACGCGCCACGGAGGCATCCGACGCCCTTTTGGGCACCCTTGGAACGACCAACCGACGCGAGCAGCCAAACGAACAACGACGCAAAGGATCGGGGCAAGGGTATTCGCGGACTCGTGTCGTTCCGACCCGATCCTGGATCGGGTCGAAAAGACGCGAGTCCGCAGAGACCCTCGACTTCCTCCTCCATCTCTTCCCTTGCTCTTCCGTTCTGTCTACTCTCCTCCTTCTCCTCCTCTTCCTCCTCCTCCTCCTTCTCTTCCTCTTCCTCCGCCACCCTCGCGTCCTCGTCCTGATCCTCAAGTCTGTCTCCTTGTGCACATGCTCCGCTCTCTCGCCCGCCCCGCCCCTCCATGTTCTCGATGTACTCATGCTCCGCAAGGTGCTGCAGCGCACGCTGGTCGGGCTTCTTCAGGCCCTGGATGGTGGCAATCCATTTTGGTAGCTTCGTGCCATCGCCAAGCTCGCTGGCGTACTTCCCGAGTGGGCGGCCGTTGTGCTTCATGCTGTCGTCGGAGTCGTCGCTGTCCGCGCTGTCGTCGGCGTCGTCGCTGTCGTCGTCGTCGTCCGAGGCCGCCTGCAGCGGCTGCCGCTGCTTCAAGTTCTGCTTAAAGGCTGACCGCGGCCGCGAGTCCGAGCGACAGCGCTTCTTCTCCCTCATGTTGCCGGTGTGGCCCTTCTCGCGCTTCTGGCCGCCGCTCTTCTCCCTCTTGCTGTCGTTGCCCTTCTTGAGCCTGTCGCCAATGTCGATATTGTGCTTCTCGCCCTTGCTGCGAGCCTTGACTGACAGCTCGCTTCGACGATGGCCTTTGACAGGGGTCTGACCCTGCTTGTCGCTCTTGCCGACAAAGCCGTCCTCCTTCTCCTTCCTCATCTTCATCTTCTTCGTCTCGGCCGAGCCGATCACGTCATTGGAAGCTGAGCCCGACATGTCGCCTGAGCTCTGATCGCTGTCGCTCATGTCTGAGTTGTCGCTAGCCTTGGCCTTCTCCATGGCCGCGAGCGCACTCTTCAACCACGGGTGCTGGCACCTCATCTTGGCGAGCTCTGCCTTTCTTTCTTACCTCTCTCTCCTTTACCCTCCCTTTCCCTTATTCTCTCGCTTCCCTTCCCCCCTCCACGCCTCATCCTAATCCCTCCCCCCTTACCATTCCCCTATATTTTTTATTCCCCTATGTTATCATTGCCCCATCCTTTTCCCTTCTTTCCGACCGCAGGTACCCCGCCTCCTGCGCGGGCTGGCGGGCGCGCCGCCTCTCGGTGGCAGTTTTGACGTTTCCACGGGTTTCTTTGTGGGCCTCTTGGGGGCCTCGTGGGCTTCTGGAAGTCTTTTGGAGTCTCCTGGGCGCCTCCTGTGGCCTCCTGGGGGCATCGGTTTGGCGGGTGTCTTGCACTGTCGCTTTGTGCTCCCCCTTTTGGCTTTCTCTTGGGGTGGGCCTCTGGGGGCCGTCTGGTGGGCCTCAGGGGCCGCCCTGGGGCCCTCTTAGGCCGCGCTGGGGCCCTCTTAGGGGTTGCTTGCTCCGCCTTAGGGCGCTGTTCGGAGCCTCGATGTCCGGCATGGAGCGTCGAGGCACGAAGAAGCGAGAATCCCAATCACTTAGGAACCCTGAGTAAAAATCAATGGTTTGACATCTTGGCACCTTCTCGGGTGGCCTCGTAGAGCGCCCCATGTGGCTTCTTGGAGGTCTATTGGGCCCTCTTGGGGCCACTGGGCGTTTATATTGGGCGCTCTCGGGCCGCCTTGGAGACTTATCGGGCCCTCTTGGGCAGCGCGCGTGCACGACGGTGTGCTCATGTCTAGACCACCTCGCCCAATCTACACGAAGCGCTGCTTTGCTGGTCTACTCACCTCAGCTTAACCCTGTGCTGCGCGCGCAACTCAGGCTCGAACTACTCTACTCTGACCTACATGCTACACCTGTTATTTACGCAACTCCATGCTAGATAACGCTTCCCCTAGGCATTCCACCACATACTTTAGTGCACCCTATGCCAACCTACTTTCAACTCTGCAATGCCCACCACGGCGCCACGAGGCACGAAGTGGAGTTACCCCCATGCTTCTGATGCCCCCTGCCCTGAACTGGACGCTGAAGATGGCCTCCAAAACGGCCCAAGAGCCCCCCAAGACGTCCTCCAAGAAGGCCCGAAAGGATCAAAATGGCCTCCAGGCTGCCAGGATGACCTTCAAGATGCCCACGTGTTCCCCGAAGGCTTTTCAAACCGATTCGGGGGCCACGTGGTCCGATAGCTTGGCAGGTCTGGCCTCAACGTTCGGCCACATAGGCGCTTCCACAATTGCAGGGGGCGGCGATGATTCGCCGTGGGCGTCTTCGATACAATCCTACATGACGCTCCCCTCCCATTCCCCTTGCACGCTCCTCTTTTCAGCCGCTGCCTCTTCCCTCCCCTTCCCTCCCTCCACGTCCTCGTCAGCCTGCCTCTTCAATGACTCGTACAAGTCTTTCACCTCGCGGACGCCCTCCTCGGCGGCCAGACATTGGCATGGCGAAACGGGGACGCCGAGGACGACGGCGACGACGACGACTACGGCGAGAATGGTGCTGATAATGTTGCTAATCGAGAGTGGGATCGATAGTGAGATCGATAGTGAGATTATCAGATTGACAGTGAGATCGGCAATGGGATCGATAGTGCGATTGGTTGCGGGACCCCGTGGCTCATAGCAATATGACCGATGATTGAAGTGCGAGGGCCGATGCACTGTGAATGAGCATCGGAGGCTGAGGGTCGAGACTCGGGGGTCGAGGATCCGAGGCCAAAGTGCGGGAATCGAGCCGAGGACAGAGGACTGAAGTTCTCAATCGACCGCCGAGGGCCCGCATTTGACGTTTGCGGGCCACGGCACCAGCTCCTCACCATCCTCATCCACATCATCACCCTCATTCACTTCCTGCTCCCCTCTGCCCCCCCCCGCATGCCCACATTTCTGACAAGACCTAGCCACGATTGCTCAAACGGGTGAGGGGTGTGGACGTTGAGCGACACGCAGAGGGCAATGCGAGCGATCCCACTATCGATACCATCGACCATGCAAGTGGTAGAATCACCGGTTTCATTATCGATCTCATTCCTAATATCACTATCGATCTTACTATCGGTTTGAGTGTGTTGATCGCCGAGTGCACGTTCATTCGCGCGGCGCAGTGCGCACAGCACTTCCCAGGGTAGCGAACGCTTACGCAACGCACTCGACAATGCAACGCAACGCAACGCACTACAATGAACGCAGCACCACATCATTTACTGGGACCTGAGGAGAGGGAGGGCATTTGCGCTAATGCACGCGGCAGTGCAAGCAAAAAAAGGTCGGTCCTTCTTGCGCTTGTTCCACTGCTCTTGCCACACGGTCATCTGGTGACCCATCGTAGTGTCTTTATCTGCCCTGAATTGCTTTGAAGCTGGAACGTTCAGAGCACAACATAAAAGCTTGAGGCACCGTTGTTTGTATTTTGAGCCCTGGGTCGTCCGAAGGTTTGCCAATGCTTCGCTATGCTCTTTTGCTTTGTTTCTGTCTGTGTAACGATTGATCATGGTCCCTCGAACCTGCCTCATGTGAAACGAACTCTTGGATCCAAGCTCACCGAGATCTTCTGCTGTCACTCCGACACTTTTCAAATTCAGGATAATATACTCTACCTGTTTGATCGTTAGTTTGTCGTACTTGCGGTGGCGTGCTCGAAGCTCGATCTCTGCCTCATATATGTAATCATCAGACTCGTCGTCTGAATATGAGCCCTTTCTTTTTTAATATCATCACTTTTACCATAATACGCCTTCATGCCAGATGTCAACAAGCTCTGAATCGGATCTGGGCCACTGCTCGATTTGCTACGCCTTTTGCCCATCGTCTGTCCTGTGTTCGGTATGCGGACAGCCCCGTGCGCGGCGAAGACGTGCAGGCTTAGCTGCTGAGCCAAACAAGCAATGCGGATCATGATGCATCCCTGCACTGACGCGCATCGCAATGCTCTTCAGGCAACGCAGGACATGCACTGATTGCGTGGACAATGCAAGCCTATGCAACACATACCACATCACATGAATGCACCGCCATGCAATGCCAGTCTCACAATGCAGTGCACAATGCAAGTACATGCGACGGGCGCAGATCGTGTATGAATGTTCGCCGACGCTGGGCCCAACCGTACAGGCACAACCGCGCGCTGCACATATGCGCACCCCCTCTTGCTGTGAACGGAATGACGAGGGCAAGGCGTATCAATTCACCAAGATGTGGCAGGGCAGGGGACGCGGGGGCAAGATAGTAATTGTACACACACGGCAGAGCAACCTGGTCTGTCGAGGGCAAGGTTGAGGATGGCACGGCGAGGGGGCAAGATGCGGGAAAGCGGATGCATACTTGCACACCAGGCGGAGGGGTAAAGGGAGCGGCGGAGTCGAGGTCGCGGGGGGGGGGGGGGGGCTGAACGGGTGGGGTGAGGGGGCGAGAAGCATGAGGGCGAGGGCATACGTATAAAGAGACGGGCTGGCGACGGCGGCGGCGACGATGACGATGGTCGCGGGGAACAGTAAGGGACAGATGGGGACCGTAGGGGGCCGCATGGGACCGCAGACGACCAAAGCGACAATAGGGCACCGTAGGGGACCGCAGGGGGCCGCAGGGGACCGCAAGGAACCGTCGGGGTCCGTAGGGGCCCGCAGTGGACCGCAGGGGACAGCGGGAGGCCGTAGGGGACCGACGGGGCCGCCTAAGACAGAGGGGACCGTAGGGGTCCGCGAGGGGCAGCAGGGAGCAACTGGGGACCGTATGGGGACGTAGAGGGCATCAGAAAACAGACTGGACAGTAGGGGCCCGTAAGTAACCGTTCTCTGGGAAGCATGAGGAAACCTGGGGAATCACAGAGGGTCCCTGTGGATCCTGGGGGGTGGCCACGCGAAACCCAGGGGGTTCATGAGGGGCTTTGGGGGTTCCAGAGGGGCCCACGCCCAAAATAACCCAGCATAACCAAACCCCAACAATATTCACTGACATGCATGGGAGTGCGCTGCAGCCACACCGAATTCTCAATAAAACACGCATGCGCGACTTAGTACACCACGCGAACGCACTACACCAAAACATTATAACAACGCATTACACGAATACACTAACACCTGATACTACGCGAACACTCTGCGCTAATGCACTACACACATACACTACAATAATACACTTCACTCATGCGCTCTACGAAGACACTGCACGACAACGCTACGCGAATACGCGACACGGACGTGCTACGCCAATTCATGCCACGACATCAACAATTATGATTCGTGTTGTTGCATGGTCCCAGGGGGGCCTTCAGAGAGCCCAAGAAGTCATTTTTCGAGCCGCGAAGCCTTTCAAATGTGAGCCTCCGAGAAGCCATGACCCATCGCAACCATAAAGGCACTCAATGTTTGTTGCCTTCCCGCCGTTTCGCCCCCGTCAGCTTGCCAATGCCTCAAGGAGGCCTGGGGGTGGCCAAAGAGAGCCCCGCGAGAGGCCCCAGATTGCCCCAAGACGGCACCAGCGTCGTGGACTAGGCAGCGCGTCGTAAAGTGTCGCGTACTAAACATCGCGTGCTCAGTGTCGCGCATTAATTAAGTAAGTGTCGCGTAGCGGTGTACCATTAGCTGCCGTAATAACGTAGGGCCGGCGCGTCGTGTAGTAGCGCAGGTTGATTACGCAATAGGTTCGTGTAGTGCATTGGCGCCGTGCAAATGTATTGTGTACTATATTAGCGTGTTAGCGTTGTGTATTCGCATCGTGTTGTAATGTAGTGTATTCGTTTGGCGCGTACTGTAGTGGCAGATTTAGCGTCGTTTCTGTCGTATTACATTTAGTGCAGCTTATGTCGTGCCTTCAACTTAATATAAGCTCGTGTGCGATCTGTAATGCAAAGACATTCGCGCCTCATCTTCAGTGCCGCACGCCTGATGCATTGTAGCAATTGTAGCGTAGTGCGTAAGAGCCGTAGTGTACCAGGTCTCGCGTGGAAAATGTAGTGCGTTAGCTGTAGTGGGTTGCCCATCGCGTTTAAATTGTTGTGCCTTACGCGTCGTGCCTTTTAGTGTCGCATATTAAGCGTAGTGTCCTAGGTGTCGTGTCTTGAGTGGCGCGCGCAAACGTCGTGTGCAAAGTGTCGCGTATACTGTGTAATTGTCGCGCGCGGGATGTCGCGCGATGCCGATATGTGTAATGGGCCGAGCGCCGTGCGCTAATTATCGCGTGCTCAGTCTTAGTCATGCGCAGTCGTAATGCACTACCCATTGCCGTGGTTGAAATGTCCTATATATACTGTCGTGTATTATGTGTAGCGCACGGGCTGTAATGTAGAACGCGTTGTGCTTCAGTGTCGCGCATGAATGAAAGCATCGCGCATTAAATGCCGCGTATTATCGCGCATTAAGTGCTATGCAGTTCGCTGTTTAAAACAGTTGACAATGTCTCGTAACATGTGCCGCGCGCCAAGCGTTGCGCGCTGAGTATCGCGTACGAAAAGTCCCGCGTTACGTGCCGCGTAGAGTGTGCTAGTGTGGAGTAGTGTGTTCGAGCGATGCATTTGCGCGGTGTGTTAATGAAGTGGATTCGTGGATAAGTGTCGCGCGATAAAGATCGAGCGTTGAACGTCGCGTATGAATGGTTCCGACGTAAGTGTCACGCGCACAGCGTGATAGCGTGGATTAATGTAGTCGCGTCGTGTATTAGTACGGGGTAGGTGTGCAGTGTATTAGTATATTGTGTTCGCGTGTTGTAATGTATTAGAATAGCGTAATGTATCAGATCCTGCATCCTCTACGCATGGTTATTTTTCTTTTTATGGTCAAAGTTGCCCGAAGATTTAAACGCATCGTGAGTTCTATTCTGAATAGCATGGCCCCCCCACGCCGAAGAAAACCCAATGATATCCTCGGCGCACCAGGAACACCCCGACTAACCCCCAATAGTTTCAACAACCCAACGATATCCCAAAGAAACTGGACGTCCTGAGCACGTGCGACTGAACCTTGAAAGTCCTGCATATCCCTGTGGGATCCCGAGGAACCCAAAGGCAACCTGAAAATTCCTTGACGAGGATGAGGAAAACATGCAGAATCCGATTGAATATTTAGACATCCTGGAATCCTGAAGAAGTTGAAGGGAAAACTAAGAACACCTGGGTCAGTCCCTAAAAACCGAACTCTGATACATCCTGAGGAAGGCAGATGAATCCTGAAGAGCCCTGACGTACAAGCAGGCACCCAAGTAAACGCCCCATATGCACCCCGAGAAACCACCACGCTTCGAAGACGCCTCTGGCCCACAAACCAGGCGCGCTTTAGGATGAGCCGCGGGCCCACGAACCCAAAGAGCGCCCAAAGGAGACCAAGACAAAAAAGAACAAAAAACTAAGTAAAACGGCAATTATGAGGATTTTCAATTCTGTATACGACTCACTTCTCAACTAATGGGCACGGGCGGGCTCCCTAGTGGAGCGCGCACGACTCGGCGTTCGCTTTCGCTTCTTTTTTCCCTCTCTGCTCTCCTCGGCCCCTCGCTCTCCTGCCCGTTTTTGTTCCTTGCCTGGCCCGCTTTTCTTTTGTCGGCCCGTCCCGCGGTCCGTATAAGAGCTGCGGTAGCCTGGCGTTTGCTGCAATGTGAGACGCCTTTCCGTGGAGCCACCCGCCCCGCAGGGCGCGGCGGCACCCAGCCCTCGGGACAGCGCCAGCGGCGCGGAGTGCCCGGCCCGCGAGGACGCCAGGGGGGTGTTTGCCGGCCTCCTTTGGCATCGGCTGGCACGAGGCTGCAGAATCGGTACGATCAACGTGGGTACGAAAAGAATGGGTACGATGCCCAACAGCAGCTCCTGTCCATTCTGAGCAGGGCCCGCTGTCGGCGTCGTCGCGAACGTTGTCCATTTGGGACAGAAGGCCGCCTTCCCAACAGCGTCCGATTCCAGTTTTGGACGACGTTGTCTGTTGGGCATCGTCCGTAACCCTTCGGCTCAAGCCTCTGGCTCAAGGCGCCCAGGCTCGAGGTTGCCGCAGCGGCTTGCCGCCGGGCTGGAGGTCGGCCCCGACCGGTGCGCCTGGGGGGAGCGGGGTCGGGGCCTCGCGCGTCGCTCCTGGGCCCCCCAGCGCCCCACCAGGTTTGGACGCCGCTCTGGTTCCTGCTCGGGCCAGCACGCGGGCGTTGCGTGCCAAAGAGGCGGCCGCTGTCAGCCAGATCAGCCAGAGGAACCGTCAGAGACTTAGACGGGGCCGCGCCGCTGCTGATGATGCTTCATTCACGGCTGCGCCCTCCCTGGTACCCAGGTATTCCCAAGGTTTCCTTTGCATCTTCCCTTGAACCCGTTGTATCCTTTCGCCGTCGCATGTTTGCGTTCCCTCGCAACTCTGGCTCTCCTGGATGCCGCGACGAATGCGTGCACGAAGGGCTGACAGCAACCGCGAGCCCTGGCTATTCAGGCAAACGCGGACGGCGACGTTGACCCGGTCGCCAGGGCCGACGGTCTCGACCCCGACGCCGACGCACTCGGCCAGGCGACGGGCGCCGCCCCCCATTGCCCGATTGTGAGCCTGGCGACCCGGCCGGCAGAGTGGCGGCGAATGCTCTCCGCATCCAGCTAGCTGCGAGGTCCACGCTCCTGACCCGACGGATGCGCGCGAGCGGCGCTGGTGCGCGGACTTGCGGGGGCGCCGTTGCGGAGCCAACGCCGCCCGACTCCTTTATGCCACCAGACTGCTCCCTGCCGCTCTCAACGCATTGGTGCGACGCGGGGCGCAGCGGCCCACGCCGCTTTGCCACATTAGAACCGCGTGCCCAGCATCCGCGGGCGGCTCAGGAGAAGACGCGGGGCGGCGGCTTGCGCCGTGCCTTGCTGCACCGAGGTTGGTTCAGCGAGGGGACAGTCGAGAATGGCTTCGAACGCATCTTCGGAACTGAAGGGCCGCGCGTCGAGTGCACTACGATGAAGGCGCGCGACTCGTACTTCTGCGCCGTGCAGCACTCGGCGGACGTCTTCCTTTTGCGAGTGAGCATCTCGACGACGACGCCCTAGTCGACCTTGTCGGCCGCGTTGGCTTGGGGCTGTGCTCTGGACTCGCGCTCGAGGACGAGCTCATCAGCGCAGTCGAAGCCGCCGCCGCTCGCGTCATGGAGATCCGCGTCCTCATGCGTGGTTTGCTTCGCCCGTCGCTCAGTTCTGGACGGACTTCTCCTCTATAATTGGGTGACTGACGCCAACCCCCGTCGGGCGGAACGCATCGTCATCATATTTTGCACTTAGGAGACAGCCGGACGACGACGACAAAGAAGGATTTGTAGCGGAGGGAAAAGTAATGGGAAAAAGGGGGAGAAAGGAGCTGGCAGCACGAGGCTCGGCGCAGGGCGGAAGGGAGAGAGTGTGAGGGAGGGACGAAGGGTGGGAGCAAAAGTCAAGAGGTCAGGAGTGAGAAGGGGAAGGGAGGAGGAGGAGGAGGAGGAGGAAGAGGAGGAGGAGGAGGAGGAGGGAGGTGGAGGAGGAGTAGGAGGGGGAGGGAAGAGGAGGAGGAGGAGGAGGAGGAGGCGGAGGAGGAGGAGGAGGAGAAGGGAACTGGCAGTGCAGCAGGAGCAGGAGCAGGAGCAGGGGCAGGAGCAGGAGCAGGAGCAGGAGCAGGAGCAGCAGCGGCGTGTCCGTAGCCGCTTCGGCTCGAGAGCAGACCAGGAAGGCCGCCGCCCGCCCCGCACACAGGCCCCCGAGCTTCCCGTGTGGCCTCGGATCCGGGGACGTCCTCGGGCCGAGGGACGCTCCTGCCGGGGCCCGAGCTCGGAGATGATACAGGGCCCGACGAAGACCAACACCGCCAAGTTCTCGGGCTTCGGCTTCGCGCTGAAGCCTGGTGGCGCCGGCGGGGGCCAGGCGGCCGCAGGCCTGCGCGCCGGTCCAGCCGCGGGGGCCGCCCGGCGGCCCGCCCCGAAGGCCGCTCCGAAGGCTGCGGGGGGCGTGGCGGCGCTTTTCGCCGAGAGCCTGGAGGAGGTCGGTGGCAAGTCGGCGGCCTCCTCCTCGCTGCCGTCCTGGGGCAGGGAGACCGTGGAGGCCAAGCAGGCGAAGCGCAGGGCCGAGGAAATGCTCGCAGTGGACCCCACCGTGTTTCAGTACGACGAGGTCATCGACGACATCAAGGCGGAGTCGGGCCTGGAGAACACCTCGTCGCAGATCCACGCCGACGGGCTCACCCAAAAGAAGCGGGTAGGGCTGGTGGTGCGGGCCGGGTCCGACGCGGTGGCGACGGGCAACAAGCGCGCGGCAAAGTACACCGAGAAGGTGATGGTCGCCGTGGACCGCCGACGGGTGGAACAGCAGATGGTGGAGGACCGCGCGCTCAAGAAGGAGAAGAACGCGAGGAAGGACGCGGAGGTGTTTGTTACGCCGGGCTTCGTGGAGGAGCTCAAGCGCCGGAAGAAGTTCGAGGACGAGCTGGAGGCGCAGGAGGCCAAGGACGAGGCGAGGGCCGCGGAGAAGCAGGAGAACGGCGCCGGCTTCGCGAACATGTATCGGAACCTGCTGAACGGGGGGCTGGCCACCAGCCGTGGGGGGGAGAAGATCAAGGAGCAGGCCCCCGCGTACGAGAACCTGGACGCGAAGGAGGAGAAGCTGGAGGCGCTGGCGAAGCTGGAGGCGAAGGAGGAGGTCAAGGAGGAGGTGGCCAAGGACGAGCCCGGCGAGGATGGCGACGACAAGAGGGAATTCGGCGTGCTGGACGCCGCCGAGCAAGCGGCGGCAGAGGAGTCGGCGGAGGACGCGGCCAAGAGGAGGAAGCGGGAGAAGGAGCAGCAGCAGCAGGCGGAGCAAGAGCAGCGGCAGGAGAAGGCGTTGTCCGCGAAGGAGCGGTACTTGGCGAGGAAGAGGGCGGCCGCGCAGGCGGAGTGACCGGCGGCGGCGCGGTGTCGCCCTTGGCTTCTCCTCGCTTTTTCCCTCCTCCCTCCCCCCGCTCCGTTCCCTCTCCCTTCCCCTTCTCCCCCACGGCTCGCCTTTCCTCTTCTGACTTCTCTCTCCCTTCTGCTTCCGTCTCCGCCGCCCCCCTGGTCTCTGTCCACCGCTGGTCTTCTTTCCCTCCTCTCTCCCCGCCCATCTCCCCCTCCCCATCCCTCCCCCCCTCTCCCTCCAGGAACTCCTCGTCTGGCCCAGCGCCCAGCTGCAATACCCGCCCTTCGTCTTCCCATCATCATCCTCCTGCCATCTTTCGCAGTCGAGAACCTGCATCAGCATGACTTCTGGAGGCCCGCGTGGCCCGCGCGGAGTTGTGTTGATCGGCGCTGGACCCCCCTCTCTGGCGCGCAAGCATCTCCAGGGGCGGCGCCGCAGGCGCCGCCAGGAGAGGGGGGCCCAGTGCCGATCCAAGCAATCCGCGCGGACATGCGACAGTTTGTGCGTGCGCGGGTGTTTCTCATTCTGGCCCTCACTCCCGCTGCAGACCAGCCACAACCAGGGGGTCTGTGATCCTTACCCTTGTAGGGAACCCATCGATTTCGACACCCCGCTCGAGAGATGGTCGATACGATGCGTCCCCTCACGGGGATGAAGAACACCCTCCACTTGTGGCTGCTCGGCGCTGCCCACCCTCCTCCCCGTCGCCCGGCCGCCTGTGCCCGCCCCCGGCGAGCGGCGGCGGGAGCTGCGCGGGGGCCCTGGCCGAGCCGCGGCCCAGGGCGCGGCCGGAAGTTTCACCCGCCCCGGGGCTCCCCCCGAAGCGTCCCACCCCCCGAGCCCGATGCCGAGGGAATGTCGACTCTGCCTCCTCCTCCTCCTGTCTCCAGACCTCGGGCGGATGTGGTTTTTCATATTTTTGTGCTCCCAGCGATTTTCTTCTCTTTCGACCATTCGGGGGCGCCCTGGGGCCATCAGGAGGCGATCTGTGATGGCAGGCGTGGCCCCAAGGAAGGGGTCGACGGTTCTGGGGCCCACGGATTGGGAAGAAGCAGTCCGCTGGGAGTTGGGGCGTCAGTTCTGGGCACTCCGGGTGTGCCCTCACCGCCACGGCGAGACGGCGCGAGACGGGGCTCGGAGGAAGGGCCAGGCTTATCCAGGATGGTCCCCAAGGGGTCCAGGGATCTGGCTGAGCTTTTCTGAGATGTTCGGTGGCTTTGGGCCGAGTGCCTTCCAGCAGGGGGAGGAGGTCGGGGAACGCCGATCAACCATCCACATCTCCATGCGTCTCGAAGAGACCTCGAGGGCTGCTTTGTTTCATGAACTATGGTAGCAGCGTTGGGTCTCTGGAGGCCGTCCCGCGTCAGAAGCTGCCCGTTGTGAAAAGCCGTCCCCTGGGCCTCGGATGGGGTCGGGAGATGCAGGGGCTTGCGTGTTGAACAATTTACTATGCTTGGGGTCTGGGCGCCAGTACCGATATTCTCGGCAAACGCGAAATGAGTACGGAAAGAATGGGCATGAACACCGACAACAGTTTTTGCCCATGTTGAAACGGGCTCGCCGTCGGTGCCGCAACAGGCGTTCTGCATTTGAGATAGAAATCCGCCTGCCCAACAGCGGCCGCCATCGGTGTTGTACAGGAGTTGTTGTTGGGCATCGAACCCATTTGTTCCGGACATATTTCGGGCGTCCAAGCATTATGACCAGACGCCTTGTTGGGTTTCGCCAGGGAGGGCACCTGCACGACCTGGGGGCCCCAGGGTGGTCCCGTCCAGGATCAATGAAGGACGCAGAGTTCGGATGATCCGAAGAAGGAGAAGGATGACGAAAGACCGAGCATTTTCTTTGGGTGGGTGAAACCTGAAATGCCCTTTCGATGGATTTCCGAGCCTTGGATCTGCAAAAGATGTGTCACAAACCGGATCGGTTTCCGAGGAGCAAAAGCCCATCTGGATTTCACCCTGAGCCCTTCACCCTAAGAAAAAGCTCAGGAAGGAAGAGGAGGACGAGGAAGAGGATGGCGAGGACGACGAGGCCGAGAAGGGCAAAGAAGAGGAGGACGGCGAATAATAGTAATAATAATACTAGTAATAAATAAATAAATACATAAAAAATAAATCATAATACTATCACTAATAATAATAATAAGAATGATAATACTAATAATAATAATAATACTAATACTAATACTAATACTAATACTAATACTATTACTACTACTACTACTACTACTACTACTACTACTACTACTACTACTACTACTACTACTACTACTAATACTAATACGAATACGAATACGAATACGAATACTAATACTAATTCGAATACTAATACTAATACTAATACTAATACTAATACTAATACTAATATTCATACTAATACTAATATTCATAATAATACTAATAATAATAATACTAATACTAATACTAACACTAAGACTAACACTAATACTAATACTAATAACACTAATACTAATACTAATACTAATACTAATACTAATCATAGTAGTAAACAGAAGAAGGAGAAGAAGGAGAAGAAGGAGAAGAAGAAGAGAGAGTTTGGCAGGAAGGGGACGGGCCGAGGGCAGGCGGAGCGGGACGAGGCTGAGGATGAGGGAGGGGGGGAGGACGAGGGGAGAGGATGGCAGGAGGACGGGGGGAGGGAGGGCAGGCGGAGGGACGATGGAGGCAGGCGGAGGGAGGAAGGCCATCGACGCGGCGACCGACAAGCCGGCTCCGAGCTGGACAGCAGTCCTGCTCGGAGGTCAGGAGGGCAGGCGAGGGGGAGGCGGGAGGCGGAGGGAGGCACAAGAGACGGAAGGAGGCAGGGAGAGAGAGAGACGGAGAGAGAGAGAGAGAGAGAGAGAGAGAGAGAGAGAGAGAGACAGCCCCAGGAGGCGAGCGTGCGCAGCACTGCCTGGCGTGCGCGCCCAGGACTCGCAGGAGCCGGTGGCGGCCGGCGCCCCAAGGGCGGCGGCGGGCGGCGCCAGCGGCAGCGGGGCCCGGACCAGCTCGTACTCCGAGGAGCGCCTCGGGGTCGGAGGGCGCCCACATGTTGCACCCGACTGCGCACCGATTCTTGCCTCCTTCCTCCTACCTCCTCCCTCCTCCTCCGCCTCCCTCCTCCTTCTCCCCCCTCCTCCTCCATCCAGCACGGGCTTGGCCAAGATCAGTGTATGCAGGCGTGTAACGCACAGCAATTGCACAGCTGGCGCCTCGACCTCGTCCTGGGCGACCTTCCGCTTCATCTTCCCAATCCAGCCCAATTGCGACCCCTTCCTCCACCGTCCATCGGATCGGACGAGAGGGAGGGATAATTAGGGAAAGGAGGGGGGGTACGCGAACTCTGCTCCGTGCAACTGGTTTCGGCCCCGCCGGCGGGCGGTTTCCTCGACAAGTTGGCGCATCCGTCGGTGCCAGGAGGCGCCAGGATAGGTAACAATACGTGGGCTGATTCGCTAACTCCCCCTCTCGTCCGCCCCAAGTCCATCCACCTCTGCCCAGCCCAGTCCAATCCGCCCAGTCCAATCCACCTCCATCGTCGTCCTCCTCCTCCGTCCAACAATACAGCCTAACTGCGACCTCCTCCTCCTCCTCCTCCTCCTCCTCCTCCTCCTCCTCATGCTCCTGACAGCCGCGGCCCAGCCAAGTGCAATGCCCCCCCTGGCTCTACCCTCCCCTGCCTCCCGGCCCTGCTCAGTGCCGCACCCGCAGGATGCGTCCGAGTCGGCCTCCAAGTCCGCATCCAAGTCTGCATCCAAGTCGGCCTCCAAGAGCTTGAGTTCCAGCAGCTCATCCGCGGCAGCCTCCAAGGTGCTGGGACGCCGTCGTCGTCGTATTCGTCGTCGGCGTCGGCGTCGGCGTCGTCGTCGGCGTCGGCGTCGGCGTCGTCGTCGGCGTCGTCGTCGGCGTCGTCGTCGGCGTCGGCGTCGGCGACTATCTGGCGTCAGTGTTCAGTGCCAGTGTCAATGACAGTGTCGTCAGTGTCGATGTCGTCCTCGGCGTCGTCGTATCCGCCTGCACCAGGTCTTGCCAGGCCAGCGTTGGGCGCAGGGAGGCTACCCATACCTCTTGGCATAGCGAAGAAAACTACGACGAGCGTTTTTCCTCCACCACGTCGGCCTCTGGGGGGAAGGCGGTGGGGGGGGGGGCGCTCCCAGGACCAGGGACGATCAGAAGACGCCCCGCGGTTAAAAACGCATCCTGAGGATGGGGTCGCCAGCCCTGGGTGGCGCATCCGCCGACACCAGGCCCCGTGGCTGCCCTGGCCAGGGATGGCCGCACGCGCGCGACCAGCCCCCCCCCCCCCCCGCGCTCCGTGGAGGGCGGCGCCGCCGCACCGCGGGAAGGCGCAGAGGGCCGCGAGCCGCCAGCGCCGGAGACGGACGAGCCCGAGGCGCTGCCGCCGCAGCCGGAGGCGGTCGGGTGTTCGTGAACGGGGGAGTGGAGAAACGTGCTTTCTTCGTGCACCTTGCGGGCTCGCGGTGGCTGTCTAGAGGCTCCCTGGGGCCCCTTCAGGGACGCTCTCCCTGAGCCTGTGCGGTCCCTGAGCGCGCTCTTGGGGGCCTCCCAGGGCCCTCTGGGGTAATCCTCGATCCCCCCACCATTGCCGTCCGCCCAAGGCGGGCGAGGACGAGGCGGGACCGCTGGCGTCAGAGGCTGGCGAGCCCGCGGCTCCGCCGCGGCCCGAGGAGGCCGCGCCCCGCGGGGCGGACGAGCCCGCCGCGCCGCCGCGCCCCGAGGAGGCCTCGCCCCGGGGGAGCGTCGCGCCGGGCGCCGTGGAGGGCCCGGCCGAGCTGTCGGAGCAGGGCGCCGCGGCGGCCGCGGAGCCCCTGGTGGCGAGGTGCGCATCCTCGAAGAAGGGACGGAAGCGTAAAGATGCGCTCTCGATGGTCCGCGCGGATTTCTCGGATCGGCGCTGGGACCCCCCTTGCGGCGCCTCCAGCGCCGCCCCTGGCGCGCTCACATCGGCGAGGGCTTCGGCCGCCCGCGGGCGGCAGGTGAGGCGTTCCTGGAAGCCCCTCGCCCTCGAGCTCTTCCTCGATGGCAGGCGGCGCAAGGCCGGTGGAAGTACAACAGGGGCGGCTCCGCCGGTGTGGCAAGCGTGTTCATGAGGCGTCTTCCTCAGGGCAACGACGGCTCCTTTCGTCGCGCCGCGCTGGTTTGAGCGGTAGTTGAAAACCCCCGCAACGATATTCAGGAGCAAGGGAGTAGCATGGGTAAATAAGAAAGGCCAACGGAAGCCGGCGGCAGCACGAGATGTACCACCAAGAGGTGGCAACATGTTTGGGTTCAGGGTGTCCGGAATCGGCTGGATCTCCGTTTTCGGCCCCTTTCCCCTCTCGCATGGGCGGCGCATTCGGCGCCGCCCCCTTGCAGGGGAGGGGTCAAGGGCAACGACAGGGAGGGGGGGGGATTGGCTCAAGGGGGGAGCAATAACCCCCAATCGCCCATTGATCTCCGATCGGAGCCTGTGCCGTCGATTCCGGGTCATGGTCCCTCCTCCTGAGTCGGTCCCCCCCTTCTCTCGAGGGCGGCCAAGAGGGGGGTGACGACTACAGGGGGGTGGGAGGGCGGATGTCATGGCTGGGGTCCTGACATCTCTCCCGAGATCTCAGGGCCCCCGTCTTTTCTCACCTCACTGCGCCCCCATGGCCCTCCCTGGGCCCGCGCACGTGCCTCGGGCCACGATCTGCGACCTCTCCCCTCTTGGACGCCCCCCTCCTGGACGGGGTGTGTGGGAAGGGGGGCGCGGCGCCGACGGGGCTCTGGCAGCAGGGGGAAAACACACATACACAAATAGACATCGATTCCCCGGAAAATATGGGAAGTGGAGGGGCAGATAGAAATCCAGAAACTATAGTATACATCGGATTTGTGTCAATTCTTTGGGGTGTCCCAGGGCCTCGTTCCCATGCCGCCCGTGAACTCCCGAGGCCTGCGTTCGTGTGTGGGCGACGCGCTTCTGCTGGCTCCCGAGGTATCGGGTCGTGTCCGCGGGCACGCTGCCGGAGCTGCCCGTCAGCTCGGGTCCCTCCCGCAAGAGTGCCACCCTGGAGGGGCCGCAAGGGGAGGTGGCCTCCTCGCCCTCGCTCTGTGTCACGCCCCCTCCTCTCCCGAGGAGGAAAAACCGCATAAGTATAACCTGTCGACGCTTCGCTCGGATTTCTTGGATCGGCGTGGGGCCCCCCTGGCGGCGCTTTCCGCGCCGCCCCTGGCGCGCTCCGCGCGCCGGCGAGGGGGGTTAGCGCAGATCCAAGAAATCCGCGCGGATCGTCGAAGGCTTGTGTTTACGCAGTTGTTTGCTCGCTTTCTGTCACGCCCTTCTTGCCTTCTCTGTGTCGTCGGACCGAGTGACTGAGAGAATTTGCAGTGAAGATCTGTGTTGAGGTTTGATGTTGACATGCTTTTCTGGTGACTGTTGTTTCGTGTTGCTTGTTTTGTGCATGTCCGTCGTGCCGTCGCAGGAGTACTTGGAAGCGTTGCGATCAGGAGCAGCGCGCGCGTGGATCAGAGAAACTGTGGCCTGGCCGCAGCATGTCAGCATAACCCCAGGAGACCTGAGGCCTGGGACATCAGGAGATCTTCGGGGGGGCGCAAGAGGGCCGCGAGAGGCGAGAGGGCGTCCCGGCAGTAGGGTCTCGACAACCCCCTTGGCTGCCACTGTCCGGTGGCTCTCTTGTGGCCCTCTTGGGGCTCTCTTGGGATTTCCAGTGCCCCCCTCGTGGGGCATTCCTGGGACCTCAGGGTGGCGGCGGAGAGGCTCAAGGGAGCCGCAAGAGGGCGTCCTGGCAGTGGCGTCCAGACGGCCCTTTTGGATGCCATTGTCGGGGGATCACATAGGACCCTCTTGAGGCTCTCTTGGGCATTCCTTTGGCCCCTCTTGGGGCGTTCCTAGGACTTCTTGGGGGGCGTGGGAGAGGCTCAAGACAGCCACAAGAGGGCGCCCCGACAGCGGCGCCCAGACGGCCCTCTTGGATACCACCGTCGGGGGACCCTCTCGTTAGGCCCTGTTGGGGCTCTCTTGGACCTTCCTCGGGCCCGTCTTGGGGTGTTCCTGCAGCTGCGGGGGGTCGTCGGACGGACTCGAAAGGACCGCAAGAGGGCGCCCTGACCTTGGCATCCAGAGCGCCCTCTTGGACGCCACTGTCGAGCGGTTCTCATGGTGCCCGCTTGCACCGCCTCCAACGCCGGAGATTCCGAGTGAGAGTCCTCTGCCCTCCTCTGAAGATGGGCGCCTTGGGGGCGGGGAAGAATGCTTAGTGGAATTCCATGAAGAATTTCTGGTAGATTTTCAACGCCCCTCGGACCTTGAAGTTTACAGGGATGGTGCCCTCAAGAATTCATTGAAAATTCTCATGGGTTTTCCATTTGGTTTTCCCCGTCTTATTTTGGCCATGAGCGGATGGGCGTGTTGCTGTTCCTTGCGAGATTTTGAAAAGAGGGCGCCCGATACCCTTCGCGGGGAGCCTTGCACACGCTCGCAGAGGGGTGCGTTTCTTTCTTCCAGGGGCCCCAGCTGGACGAATCCAGCGGCGCGGCCTTGGTCATTTTGTGCCAGCGGCACGTCGTCCGTGACCGACACTTCGCAAGTCCTGCGCTGGAGGCGCAAATTCTGTGATAAGCGCATTCTTTGATTTGCCCTGGAAGCAACCCGCCCGCGAGGGACGGCGTGGCTCCTTGGGAAAGAGCGCCCCCAGCAGGGTCCCAAATTTCTTGGCCCTGGGCGCCCTCGGGAACTTTTCCAGCCACCGAGCGGGAGGCGGTTTGGCCCTAGACATCCTGTCCCAAGACGATCGGGGTTGTCTGGGGCCTGTGCGCGTCTCTTTGGGACCTCTTGGGGACGTGTCTTCCATCGGCGCAAACACAGAACGCCGCGGCGATGGCTGGGTTGCCCATTGCTGCGCACTCGCAGGCTATCGCGCTGCGTATTCGCGCTGCAACACCGGGTCTTCATGCTTTAGGGCCCTTGCGCACGTTCGCCCCTGCGCCTGCGCGTAAACGAAGCGCGCCGCCCGTGGAACAGCGGGCGCGGGTTGTGAGTGCCAACTCGCGTTGAACCAGATGTCGGCGCCCTAGCGCGCTGCGATCTCGCCCCCGCGCCCCGAGATAAGAGCCCTATCGTCCCCGATGCCGCCCTTCCCTGCATATTCGAGCGGGAGTGTTAAATGGCACGTTGGAGGGCTTCTGCCAATGGTGTGATATGGTGCGTGTGCTTACATTACTGAATGTTGGTTTTGGGGCGAGATATTCGCTGAGGGCCTCTAGTGAGACATCGCGATGATCTATGCGCTGGCCCCTGAAGTGCTTCGCCCACGGCTTGCATTTGCACGCGGCATGAGGCCACGGCCTCGCGTGCCCTGCCCAGCAGGGCACGGGTACGCCTGCGTCCCCGACCCCGGCGCCTTAGCTTCGCTTCGCTCCGCTGCCTCGCCCCCCGCTCCCCCCCTCCCCCTTTCGTCTGCGCTCTCGCTCCTGCGTCTCCGTCCACCTCCTCGGGCCCCAGGCAGCAGGAGGGCGAAGGGCGCAGAAAGGGGTGCGGGAGGTGCGCTTCGCTTCGCTGCCTCGTCCCCACGGGCCCCTCCTTTCCTCGTCTGCGCTTTCGCTCCTGCGCCCTCCACCGCATTTCGGCGGCGAGCCTTGGGGGGAAGTGAAAAGGGGTGGGTCTTTTCAGAAAGATCGGAAGTCCCCCAGACTTCTGACGTCTGAGAAACCTCGCCGCCTTGTGGGGATGTCTTCTCTTTCTTCCCCCCCTGTTCGCCGCCGATTCCACTTCCTCGGGACCCAGGCAGCAGGAGGGCGAGGGGCGCAGAAAGGCGGGGGGGAGGCGAGGAGAGGAAGAGAAGGCGGAGGAGAGGAGGAGGAAGACGAGGAGGAGGACGAGGAGGAGAAGGACCAGTGTAAACCCAAGACCAAGAACTATCAACGATGTTGGGAGTAACCCTCCCTCCGAGCTCACTCTTCATAGGCCTCTACAACGGTTCATTTCCATAGAGGGATCTGCCTCGTTGGAAGAACCATTTGAAGACCCGGAATCATGTCAAAGCATTGTTCTCGGGATTCCAGCGCCACGGATCAACCTGACTGCTGCGTTTTGACGATCTTGGATCGTGCCAGAACGCCATTCTTGGGATTTCAACTTCGTGGATCAACGTAACTGTTGCACCCGCAAAATCCGGAATCCTTCCAAAACACCATTTCTGATACGTTGATCGTGGGAATCCGTGAAACCCTTGCAATGTTTTAAAACGAATGTGCGCGGCGCTAAGGCGAGAGCCACAGTTGGAAAACCACCCGCCCTTCATCTGTAAAATTGTTGCCACTTTTTAAGCTTCAGAGTCATCAATGGTGAGGAAGTCTTGCCCGCCCTAAAAACTTGCCTCGGGGTGCGACAGGGAGAGGTTATGTATAAGGAAAATAGAGGAGGAGGAGATAACGATGATGATGATGATGATGAGGAGGAGGAGGAGGAGGAGGAGGAGGAGGAGGAGGAGGAGGAGGAGGATAGGAGGAGGAGGAGGAGGAGGGGGGGGAGGACTGCGAGGCCCCCAGGCAGCAGGAAGGGAGCAAAGGGCGCAGAAGGGGGGTGCCGAGGTGAGGCCTCTCCCCCCGCGCCCCTCGGAACGCGCCCCGTGGGCGCGAGCGCGGCGGGCGCGGAGAGAAGTTTTCCTGTTGCGAAGCGCGGAGCAAAGGGCGAATGGTCGGAGGAGCAAGAGGTCTAGGATTTCCCAGATCTCCCGGATTTCCCAGACTCCAGGATTCCCCAGATTTCTTTGATCTTCCAGATTTCCAGGATTCCCAGATTTTTTGGATGTTCCGTGAGGAGCACTGATACGGTCCAAGTTTTTAGAATTTCTGTGTTTTTCAGGATTCACCAGTTTTCCCATAGCCCTCAGGTTTCCAAGATTTCCCAAGTTTCCAGTAATTCTTGCTGTTCCATGAGGAGCAATGATACTTCCAATCTTTCCCGGATTTCGCGCAATTCCTGATGTGCCGCAGAGAGTACAGAAGCGAAGAGCAAAGATCGGTGGCGAGCGAGGGGGGGAAGTTAAAAGGGGAAGGCCTTCTCAGAAGGCGGCGGGGCTTCTCAGAAGGCCCCCAGCCTTCTGAGAGGTGTTCCGTGTCTCCGGGGGGGGCTCAAATAATTCTCCGAAGGCCGGGGAATTTCAGAGTTTTTTGAAAAGACCCGCCCCTTTTAATTTCTCCCCAGGCTGGCCACCGACATGAAAATGATACGTCCCAGGAGTTTCATTACTTCCCAGATTTCCTGATGTTCCACAGGTACTGCAGAAGCAAGGGCCGCTAGATACTCTGGAAATCCTGAGACACATCCTGAGCTCATCCTACCATGACATCGCTCCCGTCCAGAAGGGGGCCAGGCTCAGCTGTCGATGTTCTCGGAGGTGGAAGTCGTGGAGGTGGCGGAGCAGACGGACGGGGGAAGGAGGCCCACCCTACGCTGGGGCGGAGCGCAAGGTGTGATGTTGCCGGCGGATCTTTCCGAGCCTGGGCTTCTTGGGGTCTCTATCGGGCCTCGGGCCATCAGCAGAAATACCCATTTCGCAGAATCCATGCGCATGTCGGATGTTGCGGTCATAGTTCCAGAGCGTTGCGCAAAGTCCCAAGTTGGCCTAAAAGTTATCCCCCCGCCCCCCGCACAGATCCTGAATTTAATTTAGCCGCTGCACGTTTGTTGTGAATCTCGTGTCCGCTGGGAAACCGCCGCATACCGACGGGTGCAACTTCAGTACATGTGCGGTACTGGTTGGCGAGAAGCGAGTTCTCGATTTGATGGGTCATTGCTCGTGCGCGCGGCGGCCCGGCCCCTTGCGCATCGCTTTTTCCACGCACGGTGGCCCCTTCGCGCAGTATTTGATTCCATACAACACGGGCCAGAGGCAAAGTTCTCGCTGCTGGCCTTACCCCTCGCGCCTCGCGCGTTGCGTGTTGTGTGTAGTACGTGCGAACGGGGCTCGGGCCGCCGCGCGCTGTGGCCCCTCTCGCGAATGGCGAAAGAAGGCCAAGAAGAGGAATCTGCTCCGCGGCGCCGACGTTGGAATTGCAAGAGCCCTGGCCAGCGTCCGCATAGATGGACAAGGCAATCGGACGAGTACCCACCCACACACACACACACACACACACACGCACGCACGCACGCACGCACGCACGCACGCACGCACGCACGCACGCACACACACACACACAAACAAAACACGAAGGGCGGACCCGACCCTCCGCGGCAAACGACTGCTAGAAAAGCGGCGAAAAGCGGGTAGACGGCCAGTTGAGAGGACCGTATTTTCAGAGACACTTGGTTCCGCATATTTGTGGGCCAGTGCACTGCAAGGGAAACAGTGGGAGTGAAGTGTCGACCAGGTTTTCCCAATGTGGGGGGCTACCAACGGCTGCGCCAGGTATTCGCCAACTGTGCTGACTCGCGGTAGGTCGAGAGGTCATCATGGGCACAGCGTGGCGTGCTGCAGGAACTTCGATCAGTGGTGATGAGTGCGGATCGAGACCAGGACATCGGCACCGTGATGGTGTTCGGATATGAGAAAGAGCGCGTTCAGTGGACGTTTCGAAGGGGGGGTCGATCCGGGCCTCCCCTTTTTCAAATTACACGAGGAGGCTTTCGAACTAGGGGTGGGGCCCTCTCCCTCAAAGGAGGGGGAGTCGAAACAGCACCCCCCCAAAAAATGCAAAGGGTGGGGGGTCCGAACCGGCCCCCCACCCTTCTTTCCCCAATGGCAAACGACGACGGCGAGCGCCAGTCGGCGCCAGCGCCGTCGGGCAGCGACAACGACGACAATGACAACGACGACGACGACGACGATGCCGACGACGATCGAGCCCCAGTAGGATAATTTTAAGTCTGGATCGAGACCCAGTAGGATTCGAGCTGGATCGAACACTCATAGGGTTCACTTAGAGCTGGATCCAACCCTGATGGGATCCCGTCAGAGCTGGATCGAGCTCTTATGAGATTCCATTAGAAATGGTCCCCCCAATGGGCTTGCGCTGTTGCTGGATCGAATTCTATTTGGATTTTATTAGAGCTGGATCCGTCCATGATAAGATTACTGTTTAGCTGGATCGAGCCCCCGCAGGATTCTATCAGATATGGACTGAACCATCCTAGGATTTCTTGGAAATAAATCCAGCACTCCTAATATTCTGCATCGATCCTCCGTAGAGTTCTATCAGAGCTGGATCGAGCCCTCGTAGGATTCCATCAAAACTGGTCCGAGGCACCTGGACCAAGCCCTTGTAGGAATGTATGAGAGGTCGGAGGTTGGGAGGTGATAGCAGTGGAACGGAGAGCCCACCAGGAGATCGGTTTCGGTTTCGTGTTCGTGTCGTGCGTGCGGTCGGGGCGAAGCTGCGCGGGCGCGCGACAGAAATGATGCCGCCGTGGTGAGGGGCCGTGGAGCAGCACCGGCCCGCCACCAGGCGCGTGGTGGCCTGGGGTGCCCCGCCGGTGGTACGGGGGTGCCCCGTCGGTGGTGCGGGGGTGGTTCACCAGTGGTGCGGGGATGCTGCGGGTGTGCCCCGTCGGTGGCGGGGGGTGCCCTGTCGGTGGCGCGATAGTGATATCTATCGTGAGATCGATCGTGAAATCGATCATGAGATCTATGATATGTGGTGAGATCGATAGTGCGATCAGTGGTGCGATCGATTGTGCTATCGATAGGGAGATCGATGGTGAGACCGGTTGTGGGATCGATGCCCCATCGGTGGCAGGGGGTGCCCCGTCGGTGGCGCGAGAAGTATGTCGACATTGAGATTGATAGTGAGATCGATCGTGAGGTCAATATTGAAATCGACCGTGCGATCGGTGGAAAGAGATCGAGCCTGATATCGAAGTGATATCGCTTGTGATATCCATCGTGGTGTTGATAGAGTGATTCGCAGAGATATACAGAGTTCGGTGACGAGATCGACCGTGACATCGACAGAGAGGTGGATGGTGGGATCTCGTGTGAAATCGTTTGTGAGATCGATTGTGAGATTTGTGCTTCTTCCGTGGGAGGGATAGGAGTTCGACAGTGACATCGAGGCCGCTCGAGCATCGTCGCTGTCTCGTCGCCATCAAAGTCATCGAAATTGTCATCAGTTGGTTTTCCCTGCCCCCCCAACCTCCTCATCACCCGAAGGGTGGTCGTACAGCACAACATGTATAGGTTTAGCGCAGTATAGTACATATGTGGTATAGTATAGGTTTAGTAAAGTACAGGACACGTATAGTACAGTGTAGTATAATATAGCATCGTATATCATAGTATATGACAAATGTATATACACTAGATCGTGTCGTCTAGTACTTCACCACCGTTGGATCGAGCCCTAGCAGGGTGCTAGTAGAGCTGGGTCCAGCGCTAGTCGGATCTCATCAGAGCTGGATCCAGTCCCGATATGAATTCTATCAGGGCTGGGTCGAATCGTTGTCGGATTCAATGAGAGTTCGATCGAGCCGTAGTAGGATTGTATTCGAGCTCGATCGAGCGGGTCGTCTTCTAGTCGTCGGTCGTCGTCGTCGTCGTTCTTGGCCGTCGTCGTCGTACGTCGTCGTCGTCGTCGTCGTCGTCGTCGTCGTCGTCATCTACCGTCGTTGTCGTCGTCGCGTCAACTCTCCGCCGTCCGTGCTCTGTCGTCCGCGTCGTTTCAAACGCTGGTGTCTACTAGCTTTTGGCCCATGCCGCCACCATGCTTCGGCTGTGGGTCGGAGGTCGCGAGATTGGATCGCAGTGGAACGGAGAGCCCCCTACCGGGAAGTCGGTTTCGGTTTCGACTTTGTGTCGCGCGTGCGGGCGAGGCGAAGCTAAATGGGCGCGCGACAGGGCTGATGATGCCGTGGTTAGGGTCCGTGGAGATGTTTGACCGCCCCGCCCCCAGGCGTGCGGTGGACTGGGGTGCCCCGCTGGTGGTGCGGGGGGGCCCCGTCGGTGGCGCATGGATGCTCAGCCGGTGGTGCGGGGGTGCCCAGTCGGTGGTGCGGGGGTGCCCTGTCGGTGGCGGGGGGTGCCCCGTGAGTGGCGCGATCGTGAGATCGATCGTGAGGTCGGTAGTGGGATCCTTAGTAAATATCGAGTGTGAGGTCAATCGTGAGATCTGTTTTGATAACGATTGTGGGGTCGATCGTGCGACCGATTGTGAGGTCGATGCCCCGTCGATGGTGCAGGGGTGCTGCGCCGGTGGTGCGGGGGTGCCCAGCCAGTGGTGCGGGGGTGCCCCGGCGGTGGCGGGGGGTGCCCCATGGGTGACGCGATATTGAGATTGATTGTGCGATCGATAGTCAAATCGATCGTGAGATTGCTACCGATGTCAATTAGATCTCTCGGTGGGTCTGTGGTGAGATCGGTTGTGCGGTCGATCGTGAAATCGAGCGCGAAACCGACTGTGACGTGGATCGTGTGAAGGATCGCGGGGCCGATTGCGGGACTGATACTGGGCCAGATAGTGAGACCGATGTAAGTTCGATAGGGAGACTAATAGGTGTATCCATACAACAATTATTATATATAGATTATATATATATATATATATATATCTGTAGAGAGAGAGAGGAAAAAACATATATATATATATATATATCTGTAGAGAGAGAGGAAAAAACAGAGGGAGACAGAGAGAGATAAAGTGCGATCGCGACATCGATAGTGAGATCGACAAAGAGGGGGACGGTGGGATCTCGTGTGAGGTCGTTTGCGACGTCGATTGTGAGATGTGTCTTCCTTCCGCGGGGCGTCAGGAGGTCGATGGTGACATCGAGGCCGCTCGAGCGAGCATCCCACGCATTGCAATGGGTTCGGCGATGGCGATCACTACTTCCGCAAATGGGTTGTTCAGGCAACGTTGGCGCACAATCAGCTCCGCCGCCTCTTCGCGATGTCAGCGGGTGGCGCGTGCCTGTCCGCGAGTGCCCTCTCGCCTCCGCGCTCTGACAGCGGCGCACCATGCGGTGAGTCGCAGGTGCAGCGCTTCAAGTGCGGCGAGGGCTCCAGAGCGGCGTTCGCGGAGCCTGCCCCTGTCCGCGCGGCGAGCGACCAGCAGTCGTGCGACGCCGTGGCCAAGGTTCCGCGGTTTGCGCGCGCAGCCTTACATGCCGCGAAGTCGCCGCGGCGAAACATCGCCGCAGAGCGCGTTGGTCTATGTGGATGGGCGCTCCGGCAAACCCTGGGAGCACGAGCTCGCCCGCGATCACCGCGCAAGGGGTCGCGGCGCACCTTGGGCGGTCACGGCCTGTTTCGAGGAACCTCCGCGGCGGGCGCCCTCGCGCCAGACTTCGAAGAGGAGAGCTGGGGCGCTGCAGCAGCGACCGCGCCAGTCCCGAAGCAGGGGCCAAGCTCTGCCATTTCTGCGCGGACGTTTCCGTGCCCGTCTCAGAAAGCGCCCGCCTTTCCTTGGGCCTCGCTTGGCCGTTTTGTCTCGACGATGCGGTTTCGACTCCTGCCCCGCGCAGCCAGCCTCGCCTCCCGTCGTCCAACCGTCGGGTCCGACTCTGGGCAAATCTTGCCCCCCTCGCGGGTGGGGCGGTCTCGCCGCCGCCGGCGCGGGTTCCAGCGCCAGTCTGCGGCCTGGTGATGGGCTCGACGGGCCCGCCGTTGTCGCGAGACGACGGGGGCCCATGGTTGCCGCCGCAGGCCCCGCTGCAGCCGTCGCGCAAGCTTCTCGCGAAGCAGGAGGCAAATGCGGGGCAGCTCTCTGAGGCAGCACATGAGTTGGGGCCTTGCTCTGCCAGCCTCTAGGCTCTAGGCGATGGGGGGCGCTCGCGCGCGCGACGCTGTTCCGGGCGCGCTTGCAGCTTCTGGGCGTTGGGCGCGGCTTGCGCTGGGGCGCCGGCGCGCGGTCGGCGGAGGCCGCATCGGGTTTGCTCGCGCCGTCTGGTTTGCCGGCGGGCGTCGCCCCATGTGTCGCGAAGATCGCGCAAGGGGGCGCAATGCTGGAGAGCGCGGATTCGGCGTTGGTTCTCGCCGCGCAGATTCGCGGGATCGAGCATGTCCGCCATCGCTCTGTGGACATCCCTGCCGACGTCCACGCGCTAGCGACGCCCGCGCGCGCGAACCGACGTGTTTCTGCAGCGCGAAGGCATGGCGACGAATGGGGGGGCGGTGCCCGACGCAGACCTCGCGTTCATCGGCCGCGCCAGGCTTTGCCAGCGCGATCGGCGCCGCCGCGCCGCCGCGCACATTTCTCGAACGGGGGGCCGCCGCGCTGGAGTCGGCCCCGCAGACGGCGCCGCGGGCAGGCGACCTGGGCCGCGGGTGAAGTGCTTGACGCTGATCTCGGAGAATAAGCTGGTCAGCATCGTCGTGGGAACCATCTCCGCCCCCCTCGGGCAGGGTAAGTTGGCTCTTCCAGCGCGCCCCCTCCAGGCGGGGGCGGGTGCTCCGAAGCCCGAGGGGCGCGCTGCCCATCCCCGCCTCAGCGGGGGTAGATTGCCTGGCGGGCCCGAGGCTTCCCCCGTGGAGGTGGGGATTGGTTTCCTCGTCCAGAGCGTCGACGCAGCCGAAGTCGCTGCGCGAGGGTGAATTTGTCGAGTTGGACCAGAAACGCACAAGTTCGAGACTCGCGCGCAAAGCGCCAGGCTCTGCCAGTGCCTCTAAGTGGGAGAATCAGGAGCGGCACTTTTGCAAAGGCGGGCCCGCGCGGGTCGCGGGTGTCGCCTCCATTGCAATCGCCATAGTGCATTCTCACCATCGGCGTCATCGTACGTCGTCGCTGTCTCGTCGCCATCAGAGTCATCGGAGTTTTCGCCAGTTGGCTCCCCCCCCCAGCTCCCTTATCGCCCGACAGGTGGTCATTTTGGTATACAGCCTACTGGATGCTCGTTGGGGCTTCGTGGGGGGCGTGCGTCTCGGGGGCCTCTCGGGGGCATGTTTGATGCCTCTCGGGGGCAGCTTCGGCGCCTCCCGGGGCCTCTTGGGGGCCTCTTGGGGCCCTCTCGAGGAGCCATTGGGGGCCGTGGGGCCTCCTGGGCGACTCTCTGGGCCTCCCGGGGGCACCGTGGCGCGGCGGGCTCGGATCGTGCTCCCTCTCTTGGGTTCCTTTGTGGGCTGTTGGAGGCCCTCGTGGGCCGTCGCGGTCGCCTCCTGGGCCGTCTCTGGGAGTTCTCAGGATGTCTTGGGGCCTTCCTGGGGGCTTCCTGGGCCGTCTGGGAGCGCAATAGACAGCGTCTAGAGCCGCCCTGGAGCGCCGGAAAGCCGAAAATACGAGAAGGCCCGAACATTTTCAAACAACAAATATCCCAGTGCGACCCTACCAAGGAGTTTGAGCATTTAGGAAAGCAACATCTACATCTGCACCGACAGCTAAATTTACATCTGCATCTGCATCTACATCTACATCAACATCAACAGCGAGACTCACATCTACATATACATCTACATCTACATATACATCTACATCTACATATACATCTACATCTACATCTACATCTACATCTACATCTAGATCTACATCTACATCTACACCTACATCTACATCTACATCTACACCTACATCTACACCTACACCCACATCTACACCTACACCTACATCTACATCTACATCCACACTTTCGCATTGGTTTTGCTGTTGCTTTGCATTGCCTCTACTTTTGCTCTTGCCTTTGTGTTTGCCTTTGCTGTTGCTGTTGATTTTGCTGTTTATGTTGCTTTGCTTTTGTTTGTTCGCTGTTGCTTGATTTTGTTGTTGTTTTCCTTGCGCGCAGCTATGCTATGATATGCTATGCTGCGCTACTGTATGATATTATATGCTATGCTATGCTGTGCTGTGGTATGCTATGCTGCGCTGTGAAATGCTAAGCAATGCTGTGACATGTTATGTGGCGCTATCCTCTGCTCTGCTATGTTATGCTATGCTGGGCTATGCTATGCTATGCTTGGCTATGCTATGCTCTGCTTTGCTGTGATAATGTTGCGCTAAGCGCAGCTAGGGGAAGCTAAGGTATGCTAGGCTAAGCCAAGCCAAGCTAAGCTAAGCAAAGCTAAGCTACGGTGAGATAAGCTAAGCTAAGCTAAGTTAAATTAGGCAAAGCTAAACTATGCCAAGCTATGCTAAGCTAAGCTAAGATGAGATACGCTAAGCTAAGCTAAGCTAAGCTAAGCTAAGCTACTGGGGGAACCGCGGACGGACACTGGGGGAACCGCGGGGCGAATGCCATGGGAGCCGCCCGGGTCGGGGAACACTGCCCGGCCCTTTAAGCAAACGCAGTAAGAACCCTTCTAGGCAGAGCCTAGGAAGGGAACCAAACGGAAATGACGCGACCGAGGAACTCCACGCACTCTGGAGCGATGATAGCTGAGGTGAAATATGTGAGAATGATGCTGGCGACCTTTGCCCCGCCAATACCGCCGGCGGCGCCGGCGCCGAAGAGGGGTCTGGGAAGGACCTCGCCACGCGCTGTCTCCTTGCGGTCGCCCGCGTTCACGTATCCAGCGGTCGAAGCCGGCATGTGCCAGGGTGGCTAAGTTTTTGATGATGATGTTGATGATGATGGTGGTGATGATGATGATGACGATGACGATGACGATGACGATGACGATGACGATGACGATGATGATGATGATGATGATGATGATGATGATGATGATGATGATGATGATGATGATGATGATGATTGTGATGGCGATGCCACGCCTGCTATGCCCGGGACGACCGGGGCGCGCGGCGGCCGCGATGAGGGGCCACCGCCTTGGAGCGGCGGTGCCATGCGAGCGCAATCAGTGTGGCCCTCGGTAGAGCTCCCTTTAGGACCACGAAGAGTGTGAAGATTGTGCCGAAACTAGATGCGGATGGCAGAGGCACAGATGGGAGAAGGGAAGAGGTGGATTAGGAAGGAATGAGGAAGGAATGCTGGGCGCTGTCTCTTCAAAGCGAGGACCCACCACCACAGGACGGTTGGGAGTTATCCTGGCGACAGATCCAACCATATGCAATTGTGTGTACCACGTTGTGTGTACCGACCGCTTTCGGTGGTGTGCCCTTTGGGGCCGCGAAGCGTCTGAGGGGTGTCCCAGAACGGGTGCGGTAGTGCTACGCGGGCGCTGCCCTGGGGCCTTCGGTTGAGCTCCCTGTGGGGTCACGGGTGTGCCGACACGTTTGCGGTGGTACCATGAGAGCGCGGCCACTGTGGCCTTGGGTGGAGCTCCCTACGGGGTCGCGAGGCGTACGAAGGGTGTGCCGAAATTTGCGCAGTGGTGCCATTCGGACGCTGCCATTGGTCCCTTCAGTGCAAACGTGTGAGTGGTGTGCCCACACGGTTGCGGTGGTGCCATGCGAGCGCAGCAGCTGTGCTTCTCGATGGAGCTCCTGGCCACGAAGCGTGTGGGGTGTGTGGTGGTGCCATGCGGGCGCTGCCACTGCGGCCTCCAGTGGAGCTCCCTATGGGGCCACGACGCGTGTGAGAGGTGCGCCGGATCTGGCACGGTGGTGCCATGCGAGCGCTGCCGCTGGGGCCCTTCGGTGGGGTTCCCCATGGGGCCACGAAGCGAGGGAGGGGTGTGCCAGAATGGGTGCGATGATGCGATACGAGCGTAGCCGTTTGGGTCCTCGGTGGAGCTCCCTACGGGGCCACGAAACGTGTGAGAGGTGCTCCGTCATGAACGCGACAGTGCCGTGCGAGCGCAGCTATTGGGGCCTTCGGTGGAGCTCTCTATGGGGCCACGAAGCGTGGAAGGGGTATGTCGAAACGGGCGCGGTGGTGCCGTGCGAGCGGAGCCACTGTGGCCTTAGGTGGAGGTCCCTATGGGGCCACGAAGCGTGTGAGGGGTGTGCCGGAATGGGGTGCGGAGGGCAGAGGCAGGGATAGGAGGAGAGAGGAGGGGGATGAAGGAATGAGGAAGGAACGCCGAGCCCTGTCTCTTCAAAACGAGGGCCCAACACCACAGGATGGTTGGGAAAAACTCACGGAGGGGAGGGGGAGGGTACACCATCCCCGAGGGGAAGAAGGTTTTGGAGTAGGGAAGATATTCTAGATCACATTAGCTCTCCCTCCTCCCCCAGACATATGACGTCACGAACAACAAGCAGTTTCGCGATGCCCAAATGTAAGAGTTCTCCCGCCCACCAAGAAGCCGCTCAAAAATCGTGCCCAGTCCCCTCCTCGACACAACCCTGCGGCGGCGAGGGAGCGCCCCCGAACGCCAAAACCGAGGAGGAGGAGGAGGAGGAGGAGCGGGAGGCTCTTCCTCCCCTAGAGGCGAGCCCGCATCAGAAGTCCCGCCGGCTGGATCACCCTGGACAACGTCAACACGGGGACCGTTTTCGCGGAGCGCATCGACGACGAGGTTAGGGCCAGCCAGGAGGCCCGCGGGCGTCGGGAAGGCGAGGGGGGCGGGCCCAGGGCGGGCATGTCCTTCTCTTCGGCGACGGAGGGTAGGGGGTACCGGGCGGTCGAAGGGAGGAGGAAGGGGAGGAGGAGGAGGAGGAGGAGGAGGAGGAGGAGGAGGGGAGAGAGGAGGAGGAGGAGGAGAGGAGGAGGAGGAGGAGGAGGAGGGGAGGAGGAGGAGGGAGGGGAGGAAGGAGGAGGAATGAGGAGGAGGAGGAGGAGGAGGAGGAGGAGGAGGAGGAGGACAGCGACGACGAACGGACGGAGGAGGGAGGAGGGAGGAGGGAGGAGGAGGGAGGGAGGGAGGGGAGGGAGGGAGGAGTGGACGGACGAAGGAAGGATGAGTTGCCATTAGCTTCCAGCGTGTGCGATTGCTTCCGTCGCGTCGCCACGATCACCATTACCGCTCCTCCTCCCTCGGAGCCTATTCCGATCCGATGCTGATCCTGGCCGGCCCGATCCGATTCGATTCCGCTTGCCTTTCGATCCGATTCGGCCCGACGTTTGCATGGCGCCGTTGTGCGTTCTGACGCGGCCGATCTGGTTCGATGCCCGGCTCCGTGGCGATGCGGCCCCGATCCGATTTGCAGTCCGATTCGACCCGATGTCCTGCTTTCGATGGTCGTTGACCCTGTCCTGTCCTTCGTGCTCTCCTCCTCGCCGATCCCCGCGAGGCCGAGCGCGAGGCCCCGCACTCGGAGCCGAGGGAGGACTTGCGGGCGTGCCAAGGGGGTGGGGGGTGGAGAAGGGGCAGCGCCTGGGCGGGGCGGCCATCCCGAGAAGGCCCCCGGGGGGGAGGCGGGGCTCCTCGAGGGGTCGGGGCTCAAGAGCCGGGGGTCAATGCAAACCGGGGTCCGCCAGAGCGCCGTTGTTTGCAGGATCCTGCAGGACCAGGGTCGCATGGACCCGGGCTTGGGTGCAGGATCCTGCAGGATCTTGTGGGATCTTTCGCATTGACCCCGGCTTGCGTGCAGGATTTTGCAGGAGTTCGCAGGATTCTGCAAGGCCTGATTGACACGGGTCTGGATTGACTTCGGATCGGATCGGCGGCGAAACCCGAACCCGACCCTCACTGATCAACGATGCAGGCAACTCGATGGGCCGCAGGGGTAGGGTTCGGAGTTCGTCGAGCACGTGGAGAAATTTGAGCCCAGCCCTACCTCTGCCCCCCACCGGTCAAGAGAACCGATGGTTGGTGGGGTAAGGTTAGTTCGGGCATGTCTTTCTACGGGAGGCGAAGTAATTTTGAAAAATTAATGGAAACCGAATGTGACGAGTTGTCATGCTATACTCGAAATTTTCCGGAAATAACAAGGACATCTGTTTCTGATATCGGCTAGGCGAACGTACGATGCACGCGGCTGGAAAACACGATGCGCCGCGTGGCGCCACCAGTATGTGTTTCGCCGCACTCAGTGGCGGCAGCGCGCGCTATCGCGTTTTTACACAGGCGTGCGTCTATGGCGCTGTGGTTTGTGCACAGTCAGGGTCAACCGCACGCTACCATCGTGGACTGGATGGTGCGGCGCTGCGAGTAGATTTGCGCGCAGCGTAAGCAATTCGACGAGTGCCCTCTGGGGCAGCCGACATTGGCCCTGCATATTCTACAGGCTTGCGCCACATCCGCCGACCCCTTCTGTGAGTGTTGCGAGGCCAGGAGTTTCTGGCCAACGGCGTCTTGTGTGAGGGTGCGGTGTCGCGCGCGGGTGGTGGCAGATACGTAAGGGGTCCAAATGTTTGCGTGATGCCGGTGGTCTGGGGCGTGTTTTGCGAGCGCCTTGCGTGCTGTGCACCTGGGTGCGGGGTGTCCTTCTGGGAGGTCGGCCTTTCGACCCGCAACCAAGTGGAAGACCACCGGAAGACGAAAGGAGCAAGAGTAGTGTGCGGAAGCTGTGATCAGCGAGGCATCGCCGCGAAAAATGTGGTAGATGAGTCGAAACGGGTGAAGAGGTTGTTGACGTTCGCAGCGCGCACGAAACTGTTCGCGCGGCAGCAGCACATTAGCGCCGAGCAAGATAGTGAGCACGTCGCGAGGAAGAGCAAGGCTGTATGCGCGGAGTGCATTGCAGTTGGCTTGGCGGCTCGCAATACGGAAGCGTCTGGGGGTGTTTTGGGGGCCTCCTGGGGGCCTCTTGGGGGTTCCTTGCGGCGGCTTGGCGGCCTCCTGGGGGCTTTTGGGGCTCGCGGGGGCGGAGGGCTAGATTTTTGAATTTTTGGTTGCCCTCTTGGGCCCCTCTTGGTGCCGTCTTGGAGCCTTCTTGGGCCGTCTTGGGAGCCTTTTGGGCCGTCTTGGGGCCATCTTGGGCCGTCGTGGGGCCGTCTTGGGGGCCTCTTGGGCCGTCTTGGGGCTGTCTTCGGGGCCTCTTGGGTCGTCTTGGAGCGTCGGAAAGCCCACGAGGCGAATTTGTTAAACGTACGCTTCACGCAGGAAATGAGCTAACCTTTGGTCCGGGGACCCTCTTGGGGCGCATCTTGGAGGCCTCTTGGGGGCCATCTGGAGGCCATATCGGGTGTCTTCGATCGCTCTTGGACCGTGTGGGACCATGTTGAGCTCTCTTTGAAGCCACTTGGAGCGCTCCTGGAGCGCTCTTGGGGCCGTTTTCGGGGCTCTCTTGGGCCGTCTTCGGCGCCTCTTGAGCCGTCTTGGCGCCCTCTTGGGCTGCCTTGGGGCCCTCTTGGAGGCTTCTTAGGCCGTCTTGGGGCGGTTTTGGGGGCCTCTTGGGCCGTCTGGGAGCGTCGGAAAGCCGGAAAGGCGAATATGTGTGCAACATGTACGTTTTACGAAGGGAACGGGCAATTTTTTGCACCTAGAGGCCTTCTTGGGACGCATCTTGGATGCCTCTTGGGGCCTCTTGGGGGCTTCTTGGGCCGTCTGGGGGCCATCTTCGGTGTCTTTGATCGCCCTTGGACCGTCTGGGGCCATATTGAGTTCTCTTGGAGGCCACTTGGAGCGCTCCTGGAGCGGTCTTTGGGCCGTCTTCGGGGCCCTCTTGGGCCGTCCTGGACGCCTGTTGGGCCGTCTTGGGGCCCTCTTGGGCTATCTTGGGGCCCTCTTGGAGGCTTCTTGGGCCGTCTTGGGGCGGTCTTGGGAGCCTCTTGGGCCGTCTGGGAGCATCGGAAAGCCCAGAAGGCGAATTTGTGAAAATTGTGCGTTTCACGAAGGGAGTTGGCCAATTTCTGCGTCTAGGGACCCTCTTGGGACGCATCTTGGAGGCCTCTTGGGGCCTCGTGGGGACCTCTTGGGCCGTCTAGGGGGCCTCTTAGCCCGTCTTTGGGCCATCTTGGGCGTCTTGGAGTGCTCGTTTGGCGTCTCGGGGCCCTCGTGGGCCGTCTTGGAGGCATCTTGGGGCCTTTTTTGGGCCGTCGCGTGGGCCCGTTTGTGCGTTTTTGGCACGTTTTGGGACCTTCTGCTCCTCCATGACGCGTTCGGCGGTGGGTGCTCCGGGCCGGGGGGGGGGTCAAATCTCCGGTTTAGGGCCCCTGGGGGGGGGGGGCACGGGGGGGAACTATCTCACACGCCTAGAGACCCACAAAGGGGTCGGCGGATTTGGATAATTGTTCCATCTTGTTACGCACAACCACAGCATCCGCTAGATAATTCTTTACGCTTCGCGTATCCCCACCAGCCCATCTCACAGCAGCAACTCTTGCGAAGCATGCCGACAGTCGTGTTTTTCAGGCGTGCGTCCGCTTGGCCCCGCATATCTCCCCTGTTCCTCCTTCCTCCCGCCTGCTCGTACATCCTCCTTGTGGGGGGAGCGGGAGAAGGACGAGGCGGAGGAGGAGGGAGAGAAAGCGCTCCTCGTGATTTGAGTCGTTTGGGGTTTCTCGTCCTGGTGTGAGTCGTTGGGGCCCTTCTTCCTGGTGTGAGTCGTTCGGGCTCTTCGTGGTGTGAGTCGTTCGGGCTCTTCGTCCTGGTGTGAGTCGTTCGGGCTTCTCGTGGTGTGAGTTGTTCGGGCCCCTCATCCTGGTGTGAGTCGTTCGGGCCCCTCCTCCTGGTGTGACTCGTTCGGGCTCCTCGTGGTGTGAGTCGTTCGGGGCCCGCGTCGTGGTGTGAGTCGTTCGGGCTCCTCGTGGTGTGAGTCGTTCGGGCGCCTCGTCCTGGTGTGAGTCGTTCGGGCCCCTCCTTGTGGTGTGAGTCGTTCGGGCTCTTCGTGGTGTGAGTCGTTCGGGCCCCTCGTCCTGGTGTGAGTCGTTCGGGCTCCTCGTGGGGCCTCTTGGGGGCCTCTTGGAGCCTCTTGGGGCCTCTTGGGGGCCTCTTGGGGGCCTCTGGGGGGCCTCTGGGGGGCCTCAGGGGGCCTCAGGGGGCCTCTTGGGGGCCTCTTGGCGGGCTCTTGGGGCCTCTTGGGGGCCTCTTGGGGACCTCGAGGGGACCTCTAGGGGCCTCTGGGGAGCCTCTTGGGGGCCTCCTGGAGGCCTCTTGGGAGCCTCCTGGGGGCCTCTTGGGGCTATCTTGGGGTCTCTTGCGACCTCCTCAGAAGCGCTAAGAAGCGCTAGCCCCAGAGAAGGACAACATCAGCCCGAAACCTTTGTAAAATCAATGATTTTGCTAAGAAGGAAGAGGAACGCGGCCCCCTTCAGAAGGCCAAAATGGGGCCAAAACCGTAGTAAAATCAATGTGTTTTACTTCAACGACGAATTCAGGCGCCAAACTCCCTCCTCCCCCTCGGGGCCAGAATCCTCGTGAGGGTCTGTGTTTTTTGGCCCTCCCAGGAGTCGAAAAAGACCCCTCCAACCACCCGCGGGGCGCCCTCTCCAGGCCCAGGGGGAGGGGGTAGGGGGAGGGGTAAACCCCCCCCCGAAGGGGAAGAAGGGGGGTTGAGAACAGAGCGGGCTCTCTAAACCACTCACGCCCAAAGGGCTGGTGGGATTCATTGTTGTGGCCGCTGGCATTCAAGTTCTCGCTGCAAAGCTCCCGTCTCCGACTCCCCCACTCTATGCCCCTTTCGCTTCTGCGCGCCATCCTTTTGCATCGTCTCCGCCTTGCTCCGTCTCAATATGGGTAGCGCGCGTAGACCAGTGCACCCCGCGTTCGGCCACTGAGTTTTTCTTGGCAATCACGCGGGGTATGGCGCGCGAGGGACAATCCTGACCGGACATGGCGTACCCCCTTGGAGGCCATCACCGAGTATACATATAACGGCGCACCTGGTCCGGGGGCCCGGGGCCGGGACCACGACCGCAAATGTGGGGACAGGGGGCTTTGGAGGCGCCGGAGGCCCACAGAATGCCATTAGAAAGCGCCAGGAGAGCCCCAAGACGCTCCAAGAGAGACCCGAGACACCCAAAGGTCGCTCTAAGACGCCCAGCATTGCCTCTGGACGGCTTCAGAAGCCCCCAAGACGCCCCAAAAGGCATCCAAGCCGCGCCCGAAGAGATCTCCAAAAGGCAAAAATAGCCCCGTTCCCTTCGTAAAACGTATATTTTACTACATCAAATGTTTTCGCTGCCGCACAGTTCATGACGACGCCGGAGGCCCCCAAGACAGCCCCAAGCCAGCCCAAGAGGCGCCCCAGAGGGCCCCAAGACAGCCCAAGAGAGCCTCAAGACGGCCCAAGAGGCGCCCAGAACAGCCCAAGTGCGGCCCTGAGGCCCACAAAAGGCTACCAGAAAGGACTCGGGACGTTCCAAACGCGACCCGAGACGCCCAATGGTCGCACCAAGACGCCCAACATCGCCCCAGACGGCTTCAGAAGCCGCCAAGACGCCC